GACGGTCGGCGGAGCCGAACCGCTTCGAAAAATGTTCAGTTCCTTCTCTCGATCGCTGCGAAACCCTAGATCGTCGCCGGTGAAACCGCCGGCGCCGATCTCTGACATCATCACTGGACTCTTCGTCCCCATCGTCACCGTTGAATCTTAGGCCGTTGGATCGAGGGAGAAGAGGCTTGGGATTTGAGCATGCAAGAACCCTAGCTAGGGTTTTAATTTATTGCACGATTTTAATGGGAGAGGGGGGAGGGAGAGATACGCTGTTATTTATTGCCAGATGTAGTAAGAGATTTGTTTCCTTCTGTTGAGCGTCGCACCGCTGAATTCGAGGGGGATGGATTTAAATCAGGGTTCCGTTTAGGGGGCTGGAGATAATTTTCCTTGCTCTTCTTCTCTGACTCGTGCCCTTAGTTATTTATTGCCAGATGTAGTAAGAGATTTGTTTCCTTCTGTTGAGCGTCGCACCGCTGAATTCGAGGGGGATGGATTTAAATCAGGGTTCCGTTTAGGGGGCTGGAGATAATTTTCCTTGCTCTTCTTCTCTGACTCGTGCCCTTAAACCCATTTTGAAATTTATTTATAAAAAACGACCCCTTTTAGCTTTAATTGCAAAAACCAACCCAGTTTGTTGAAACTGGGTCGGTTTTTGAAAAAAAAAATTCCAAACTTCACGGGAGTTGAACTCCCGTGAAGTTTTTTCTCATAACAAAACTTCACGGGAGTTCAACTCCCGTGAAGTTTGAAAAAAAAAATTCAAAAACCGACCCAGTTTCAACCAACTGGGTCGGTTTTTACAATTAAGGCTAAAAGAGGTCGTTTTTTATAAATAAATTTCAAAATGGGATGGTTTTGAAAATTTGTCCTTACTCCCTTGAAGTTTTTTCTCATAACAAAACTTCACGGGAGTTCAACTCCCGTGAAGTTTGAAAAAAAAAATTCAAAAACCGACCCAGTTTCAACCAACTGGGTCGGTTTTTGCAATTAAGGCTAAAAGAGGTCGTTTTTTATAAATAAATTTCAAAATGGGATGGTTTTGAAAATTTGTCCGTTATATCGATAAAGTCAATAAGATATGTTACCATAATCGAAGAGAACCGAGGGTTTATGGGCAAGAAGAGGTTCTCCAACGTGCACGTAGCTTGAGAGTCATCAATGGGGATCTCCGACTCAAAAACCGCGAGAATGCTTATACAAAGAACTTCACTGTTGAGATACTGAGCTTGAGGGCTTACAGGCTGATCATCTTCGACCTCAGGATTAGCTGAACTGGTATTTATTTTCAAATTCATTTTTGAAGTACTGCTTAAACCTTAGTCTGACATCCTCATTTATAAAGCTTCTGGGTCAAGTACAGATAAGATGCGTATGTTTTCTCAACACGAGGGTTGTGTGAACTTGTATTTATTTTAGATTGTTGTCCAACTTATTGACAACTTCCAACCACATTGTGACTCTAGACACGGAACATGTCCGCAGGTAGATAAGAAAAAGTGCTGGCCTCTTTGTAACTATCAGCGTCTTGCTATTATTTTAGCTTCAGTATGTCTTCATTTCCTTCTCAAATGTATACAAACAGTCTAACATATCTACTTGCTACGCCATTACTTCTGATGAATGCGATATTTTTGAACCTCTAATAATTGTTTGCTGTTCTCAAACTTGAAGTCAGAAGTTGCTGTTTATTTCTCAGGCTACGATGACGACGACCAATTAAACCTGCACCTTGAAGCATCGCTGTAACTCTATCGTCCGCAACAAAAGCTGCAGACATGCATCAAAGCATCCTAAAACTGATACCAGCTATAAAAGAAGTGTGACATTCAACTACTAACAATGCATATCTGTCATTACAGGAAAGTTCATCAAAATACACGAGATCTCTCAATTTTTCTTTTAGAATCAGAATGGAAACACAATTGACATCCAAGTATCCAACTACTAACAATTAATGCGTAATTAATGACATTTGTCATTACGGGAAAGTTCATCAAAATACACTAGATCTCTCAATTTTTCTTTTAGAATCAGAATGGAAACACAATTGACATCCAAGTATCCAACTACTAACAATTAATGCATAATTAATGGCATTTGTCATTACAGGAAAGTTCATCAAAATACACTAGATCTCTCAATTTTTCTTTTAGAATCAGAATGGAAACACAATTGACATCCAAGTATCCAACTACTAACAATTAATGCGTAATTAATGACATTTGTCATTACGGGAAAGTTCATCAAAATACACTAGATCTCTCAATTTTTCTTTTAGAATCAGAATGGAAACACAATTGACATCCAAGTATCCAACTACTAACAATTAATGCGTAATTAATGACACCATCCTGTAGCTTGTGCATATAAACTTGTATGCAGGGAAAATTGCAAAGAAGAGAATAAAGAAAATTTGATTTTGATTCCTTTGATCTCGGTTACAACTTGATTACAAAAGAGAGGAAAACGAATTTGGTTTTCCCCTTTGTTTAAAACTGGGTTCTTCACGGTGGCGATGGAGTGCCTCCCCCGAATGCTTGCGTCGAGTTTGCTCTCCGTTTGACGATCCGATGTTTTGCTTCACTGGAACGATGTCTTCTCCTCACGATTTGACGTTGTGGAGAACTTGCGTGGCAAGTTTGAGAACTCTGAACGAGTTTAGAAGAACTCTGTCAAAGAGTTGATTTGAACCGAAGATCGGTTAATAAGCCAAGGACAGAGGCTCCCTGTTGCTGAAGTTGAAGATGATCTTCGTTGGAAGATGATGTCTATCTCCTCAAAAGCCTGTCTCCAGTGGTCGATCCAAGCCAAGAAAATCGAACCGAACCCCAAGCCCTCGTGAACTGAATTGATCTTCAGTTATTTATAGAGGATTAAGGGGGTGAAACCGCCCCTTAAATCTCTCCTAAGTGGGGTGTAACCGCCCTGAAATCGTGGGAAACGGTTTTAGAACCGTTCAGCTCATGTTGAATGAGTCAAACAATACCCACGTTGGCGTTCAGGATCCTAACTCCGCGTTTTAGAATTGAGACGCGGAGTTCAGTACTCGCTGGGTGTTGAAAAACGCGGGTCCGACCCTAGCGTTTTAATGTTGTAACGCGGGTTCGACCACGGCGTTTTGATGTTGTAACGCGGGTTCGACCCTCGCGTTTTGATGTTGTAACGCGGGTTCGACCCTGGCGTTTTGATGTTGTGACGCGGGGTTCGACCTTGGCGTTTTGATGTTGTGACGCGGGGTTCGACCTTGGCGTTTTGATGTTGTGACGCGGGGTTCGACCTTGGCGTTTTGATGTTGAAACACGGGGAGGACCTCCGTGTCTTGCCTTGCAGAGATTATCACCAAGTAATCTCTTTTTGTCATAGCGTTGCAAAGATCATTGTCTTGTAATCTTCGTCTTGGCTCCTTGAGAATATGAGAGTCGTCAGATTGTAACTCCCGATATTGATTGTGAAGGCCGTTGATTAGAGTTTTCATCAGTTGTCGTGAAGGTCGTCAGATTGTAACCTTCAGCGATCTATGTGAAAGTCTTCAGATTACAGCCTTCTGGAAGTCGTCAGATTGTAACTTCCATCATCAGTGTTTGATGGGGGATAAGCTATCTATTGTGATTTTTAGACAGCCTACAGAACCCCCTCCAAAGTATTCGAAAGTTCGCGGTTGACTGGGACGAATTTTCGGAATACTTTGGATCTTAACTCTGATCTTAGAGCTGTTGATTCCTTGTCGTAAAGGAGTCGTTCTCTGCACTTGCTTTGAAGGCATCTTGGTTGAAGGGGTTTGCCACGTAGGACCTTTGTGAAGGTATGCGTCATAATCCTGCTTCTGGAATGCGGGGGTGGACCCCATGCGTTTTGAATTTGAGACGCGAGGCTGAATTCGGCGTTTTGGGATTTGAAACCCGGGTGTGACCTTGGCGTCATGATTTTCGTACCACTGGTCTGACCTTAGCGTTTGGTTTTCGCATCGCTGGTCTAACCTCGGCATTTTGACTTGAAACGCGGCTATGACTTTGGCGTTATCGTCTTCGCGTCGCGGGTCTGACCTTGGCATTTTGACTTGAAACGCGGCTATGACTTTGGCGTTATCGTCGTGAGACGGGGAGGTGACTTTCATGCATTTTGACTAAGTCTTTGAGACTTGTCTTCAGCTTATTTGTTTCAAGTCTTGGCTCACGTCCATTAAGCTGGTGGGCCTGAAAACATGCATAGGATTTTTGGCAAACCCTCAGCCATCAACGGGTTTGATAAGCCTTTACCGACTACCGTTTGAATCGGGCTAGCATGTGGATTGTCTAAGTCCGTTCCACATGTAACGTTGTGCTAAGAGAATGAACCCTCTTAGACTTGATGCTATGATTTTGAATACATAGACTTTGTCATTTTTACGGAAAAAGACTAACCGGCAACGCGTGTTAGGCGTAGGCTTATCTCTAATTAGGGATCGAGATAAAGTCCCCCATGCGTGTGAGGCATGGATTTTGATGTCCTTTTCACGGTAAAAGACTAACCGGCAACGCGTGTTAGGCGTAGGCTTATCTCTAATTAGGGATCGAGATAAAGTCCCCCATGCGTGTAAGACATTGATTTTTGATGCTACGATGTTAAATACGTAGACTTTGTTGTTATTTCTTCTTGTGTTATTTGAAACACTGAAAGAATGTTAGAAACGCCAGAGGTGTAATATTAACTTGGCATGAATTTTCACTTAGAGTGAAATTCAGAAATTTTCTTTATTATAACTAGGATAATTCTAGAAAATATTTAATCCCTTGGGGATTTTATAATGACAACAAAAAATAAGGACAAATTTTCAAAACCATCCCATTTTGAAATTTATTTATAAAAAACGACCCCTTTTAGCTTTAATTGCAAAAACCAACCCAGTTTGTTGAAACTGGGTCGGTTTTTGAAAAAAAAAATTCCAAACTTCACGGGAGTTGAACTCCCGTGAAGTTTTTTCTCATAACAAAACTTCACGGGAGTTCAACTCCCGTGAAGTTTGAAAAAAAAAATTCAAAAACCGACCCAGTTTCAACCAACTGGGTCGGTTTTTGCAATTAAGGCTAAAAGGGGTCGTTTTTTATAAATAAATTTCAAAATGGGATGGTTTTGAAAATTTGTCCCAAAAAATAAAGTTTGCTGATTTTTTTTATTTAAGGAGTATTTAGTATTTTAAGGTAAGGGACCGTTTGGTTGGTTAAAAAAAGGTAATGTATTATGTAAAACTTATTTCTTATAATATTAGAGGATGTGACATAATTTTAAGGAAACATGTTTCATGTCTTTTTTTTGAGGAAATAGGTAGAAAACAAGTTTTAGTGATATGCTTATCCTATTTCTTTTCTTTAATTTTAGAAAATCAACTAAACAGCCTCTAAGATTCACAAAATGACCATGGAGTAAAATCTAGCTTAACTTATCATTGACAAAGGAAAATGTCATATATTTGAAAAGATAGTGATACTTCTCTCTAGTAAATAATTTATGATTACTCATTTTGATTTATCTACTACTTTTAATTGAAAAGCAAAATCTTAATATCACTGTTTATTCTTCAGTAAACTATTCATGCTACAACATGTTACAAATAATAACTGTTTGTGCTACGGATCTGTTGTTGGCCTTGCACTAAATTTTTTTAACATGAACATTGTTCATGCTATAGTATAACTTTCGAATCTTAAACATTATCTACAAGCTATAGTAAATTTTTTGGCCCTTTGTTCACTATTCAACCCAGAGTAATTTTTTTAACCTAGAAAACACTGTTCAATCCAAAAAGAGATCTTTTACTCTGTTGAGTTTGTTGCTATTTATAGGGGGATTAGGGGTGTAACTGCCCCCATAATCCGCGCCTAAATGGGGGTTTAGTTACCCCATTAGTCGGGTGTAACAACCCACTAAAGCCACTCCTCAAATCGTGGGTGAAGAACAGCTTCGAAGTTGTTACGATCACGTTTGAATGAGTCAGAACCTTGACCTGCGTTCTGGCGGTGATTGAGCTGCGTTTGGCAGTGATGGATGAGCTGCGTTGGCAACGGTTGATAAGCTGCGTTGGGCAGCGATGGTTGATAAGCTGCGTTCGAGCTGTGCTTGGCAGCGATTGGAAGCGATTGATAAGCTGCGTTGGGCAGCGATGGAGCTGCGTTCGAGCTGTGCTTGGCAGCGATTGGAGCTGCGTTCGAGCTGTGCTTGGCAGCGATTGGAGCTGCGTTCGAGCTGTGCTTGGCAGCGATTGGAGCTGCGTTCGAGCTGTTGATTGTTGTAGTATTTAGATTTCTCTGTCTTTATATAT